GAACTCAAAATGAAATTCAAATCAGCACGTTTCTGGCAGCACCTGGTCACGGTGTGGCGCATGGCTTCACTGCAGTCTTGGTTCACAAAGCGCGCACTTTGCAGTGCACATACCTCATGACAGGCAATGCCAGCTAACGCTACCTGAAACATCTTGGCTCAGATTTGAGGTATTGCACATTATGAACTGCAGAGTTTCTATTGTACATACAAATTTTTCTGCTATCACAGAAATATAATGATTTAATTACAGAAAACAAAAAGTTTTAATATTTTCCTATTATCTTTTCTCAACATGGAAGAATCAAATTAGTAATTGTCAAGAAGTCTGGAGTGGGGGCACATGCCTTTAACCTCAGTACTCAGGAGGTAGAGACAGGCAGATCTCTGTGAGTTGGAAACCAACCTGGTCTATATAGCGAGTTCCAGGCCAGCCAAGACTACATAGTGAGAGAGGGTTCTCACAAAAAGGGGGAAAAAAAGCTAATGTCTTCAAGGGACTTAGCTACATTAGATTTTAGATTTTAAAAAGCACTATTTGACTTTGTGACTTGAGTTTCATTTTTAAAATTAAGTGAATTTTGTCTTGGAATTCACACAGAATCTCTAACAATTTTTGAGGTGGCCCTAAACATATTTCTGTCATTTTGTACCATGTATTTACAGGAAGTGGTGTTCTTGGCATTGACAGTTATAAAACTAAAATATCCATCAACTCTGACACACATTGAAGATGTTCTGCCCTGCAGCACCGACATTCAGCCAGCATTTAATTCTTTATGTAAAAATAAAAATCACATATATCTCATTATAGCACAAATTTGCTTTAATATTCACTAAATGATAGATTATATCTATTCCAAAGAATTGTCTTAAAATAATTTTCTGTTTGATGTATTATCAGTAAATGTTTGATTTCTAGACCTATTTTGTACACCTATGTATCAGAGTCATACAAAAAGGAAAAAGTTAAGAACCCCTACTCTAGTAGACCAGGGTTGCAGGTTTGGACAAGAAAGTGGGTCTGAAACTCTGTCACCTCCCAGGCACAGAACACGGTCTCTCCCTCCATTAGGCCTCAAGGCACCCCTGGAAAAAAGACTTAGAAAAAGGAAGCTCCACACTGTCCTCAGTGCCATGCTTATGCACCCCTGAGAATGCCTCTGCACTCTCAGAAGAGGCCGCCCCTGGCACCAGCCTAACCCCAGACCTCACCTCCATCCTCAGCCATCTGAAGCCTCCTCGCAGACCTGCAGCTGCATGAGGCAGAGCCCTGGCTCTGCTTTCCCTCATCAGCTCTCTCTCAGCCTTCTTCCCACACTTTTAAGAACTGCTCTCAACTGCTTGGCCAGACTCTTTGGTAGGCTCCCTGTCTAGGCCACACCACCAAGTCCTAGGGGACAGTCACAAGGGCCTTTGGGAAAACAAGGATAAGAGCTATAAGAAATTCTAGATGGCCAGCTGGAGAGGGGCGAGAACTAGTTTTACCATGTGGCCTTTATCGCACATCATCTTCAGTAGTGGCCTTGACGGCGTCTAACGTAGTCACAATGAATCTGACTCTAAGCTCCATCACCTCTAAAGCCATGACCAGAAACAGAGGATCAAGATAGTTTTTACTTTTCCAAGCCTGAGGGGCAAAATGATAAGAACCAGGTTCTGACCTACTTATGCCATCCATAATACACACTGAGAGGCCATGGAGTACCAGTCCCTGTGCCAGGCACTGCTGAAGAAATTAGATGAGTTACAGGCAGAAGGGTTTGACCCACTGTAGGGAGATGTACTCTTACCAGCTATTTGTGTCCCCTCCCCACACCCAGCTGGAGCAGGAGCTTGTCATGGTATCCTTTGCCTGGCCAAAGCAGGCCTTCTGGGAACCAGAGCTGTATATTAGGCAGTGTGCACCTGTGGCTGAATCCTGTCCCATCATCACACCACTGCCCGTCATCATGGCCACCATTACAGCCCCCACGCCCATCTCCCTAACTCATGTGGCATCTACCTCCTCTTTAGAGCCTACACATGGAATAAACTTGTCACTGATTTGAATGCACATGTGCGCACACACACGCACACACACACACACACACACACACACACGAGTCCAGAAAGAATACAGAACGGGGGGCTGTTTGCTCCCTTTGATGCACACTGCCCCCTGGCAAACTTATTCTCAGGGACTATGCTGGCTTAGCAGTGCCAACTGGCTCCTTAGTCCTCCTCTGCCTGATGACAGAAAACAAAGGGAACAAAAGAAGATTCTTGTACACAGCCACTGTTTGTTTTACATCACGGTCACTTCTTTCGAAGTTTAATGAACCTGTTTTAACTCAGGTAAATCCTAGTATGTAAGCAGCCACTTGACCCTCTCCTTTAATTTCTCACAGTGTTCCAATTGCTCACCCCACATGTCTGTCAGAAAACCTGAACCACCGAAGCGGTTTGACCAACAAGATGTAGCACCCAAAATAATGGTGAAAACCACATTTCTACAGTGGACTACAGTGACCCTCCTGAGTCTTTTTTATAACAGGCGCTAGAATGTGTACATCATGCAACACAAGTGAACCTCCTTTAAAAACCAAAATAAATCTCAATACAGTACTGCTCTTTCCTATCCAGGCCTTTTGAGCTTTATTTTAAATCTATCTGCCATGCATGGATGTGACTTCCTTCCCTTCCTGGTTACGCAAAATAACTCTATCAGTAAAGTATTAGCATAGCTAAGTGGGTGCTCAATAAACATTTGTTGAATAAATGAATAAATGAGTGAATAATTATAAAGCACTGGATGAAAGTCCCCCTGAGAGGTTTGCATTAGATCACAGAATAATGCGCTTGGATATTCAGGTAGCTACATTGAAATGGGACTTAATGACGGGCATCAAGCAGCATTAAATATTAACCCATTTCTGTCTTAATAACTCTATCTCAAAATATTATATAAGTCAACATATGATGGATACATACTTGAGAATGGATTATGCTGAAAATCAAACCCCAGTATTTAGATACTTTAAGAACTAAAATAGTGATACTATTATATTGTGGAAACAGCAAATGCCTATGACTTTGT